CATGGACAGGTAAAACGAGTGGAAAAATGGACCGTGAAGGCTGTCTGAGGCCTTACATGGGAACTGCAGTAACGTACTGAAGATTGAAGAAAACTATACCTGGATATAAGGTACAAAATAGCAAGGTTTTCCTCCGAATTTAGACGAGGCAAGCTGTTGATGCTATCGTAGTAGAACCTGAGGGTTTGAGACAGATGTAAATCTGAGTGGGCGTAACGTATGAGCGCAGAGTGAGTTGACAAATGTAAAATGTAAATTGTTGGCTGCCTGAGTTTCCTCAAACAGAAATTAAAGTAAAATAAATACTATACCTGGATTAAAGGACAAGAATCAGGTTTTTTGAAATATAGAAATAGCAAAACGGTTGGTGCTAGCGTAGAATGGAAACCTGGATTTTAAGGATAAGAACCACGTTTTTTTTTATAGCAATTTAAGCCGTAATATGGCAAAGTGTGATCTGTGGAGATCAAAAGAGATTATTTAACAGGCCTGAGATTAATTTGCACGTTAAGGCAATCGTAACATTGTGTGATTAGTCATTTAGTTGCAGGGAAGCTGCATATTATACAGAATAAAACAGCAAGTACCATGAAACCACTATGTGGCGATGTTAGCCCAATAAACTAGGTCTGTGAGCTGATACACGAAAAATATAATGGAAAGTATTGATGAGAGTTTTTGTAATACATATGTCGTGCATAATATTTGCAGGGGAAATACAATTAAACAGAATAAGACAGAAAAATTCCATAAGAACCACTAGGTGGCGATGACAGGCCAAACTGGGTATGTGATTTAATACAATGAACAGAATGAATGAAATTTTAGTAGACAATATTTTTTCTTAATATTAACTTAACTTTCCCACATAGAATGCAGTATTCTTATTAACAGCCTGATTTTATTAACAGCATGATTACTCCCCGAATGTATTTCTTTATTGGCTGTTTCAAATGTTTGTTGTTAGGGGGTGCTGTTGGACCCCGTGGCGGGTGTACAAAGAGCCGCCTAAATGCCGACGTGAATGGGGGACCGTGGGTGGTCCCCGGTAAAATTTTACTGAATGTGCGTTCCGGTCCCTAGATGAGACCACCGTGCGGTGTGGTGGGGACCGGAATGTGAAGCAGTAACTCACGATTTGGCCGGAAAGCCAAGACCGGATCGCCGAAGAACGGAGGAATTCCGCCGTGCAGCCAATACGTCAGACGCCCGAACCGGAAGTGACGCGAACCTGCCGACACACGCAAACCGGAAGTAGAACAAGGAACACTTGAACTCGAAAGTCAGAGGTGAGTAGGGGCTGGGTGTTTAAGTAGGGGACTTACTCCTCCCACAAATTCAGGCCTAATGGCCTTTCTACATATGTATATGTGTGTTATACAGGTTACACACTGAACTTCCCATACATGTTTCATGACATTTAGGTCAGGTTATTGGAAAGGCCATAGTGGAATGTATGACTTGGTGCTGTGTTTATGAAACCACTCTGGATTTTGTTCAGACATTATCATGGTGCATTCATTTTCTGGCCCATGCCACCCCAATGACGGAAATGTATTTCAGGCCTCACAGCAGTGAATGGTCATGACTGATCCTTTGTCGGTCATTCTACAAATAAGATAATTTAACAACTGATGAAATTATATTATGCTCAGGAAAATCTACTATTGCTTGCCAATAAAACAAGCACACACAAAAAAGGCAGCAGAATGGAGATTTGATTGTAATAAAAAAGTGTTCTTCCTTTTTCCTATTTCCCACATGTGGGTTTAAAATCTGTTTGTCAAAATTCAGCTTACAGTCTACAAGCTGGTGTTATCCCATTATGCTTTGTGTGCACGTTGCACCATGGGAGTCACAATGACTTCAATTTCATTTTCTCCTTTTCTTAAGTTAACTACATCGTGGTGATTATCAAATGACGTTTTTTCTTTTTTTTCTTTTTCTCATTACAAGTGGCCGATGGGACTGTCTCTCCAAGTCGTTTCATGTGCACATATTCTGTAAATTACGTATGAAATGTAAAATGTTGTTTGTGGATGTCTGCATTTATGTATAAACAGCAGCAATTAATTTAATATAAAGTTCAGTGTTTTCGTTTGTTATATGTTTGTATTAATTCTGTGTTTGTGGTCCGGGCCAATAACCATTAACCCCTTAAGGACACAGCTTCAAAAACTTGTCTTACCCTTAAGGACACAAGCCATTTTTGCATTTTATGCTGTTTGTGTTCAAAGCATTTTGCATCTCTGTCATTTATTGCACCAACACATATTATATATAACGTTTTTTAGATGGCAAACAGCTTTATTTTTATGTCGCACACACACATATATAAACAGGAACCTAATTAAAACAGAAGGTATTAGTAACCCCTCCTACCCCTCACACCCTCAGTCTTGTTTCCAGCAATATACCAGCGCGGGATCTTTGTGCTGCCATGGCCTATGACCAGGAAAAGAAAATTACGGTAAGTAGGAATACATTTTCATCTTTCCTGGCCATATCCATGGCAGCACAACAATGGGTAATACCCAAGCAATAACCAAGGTAGGGGAAAGAAGTACACAAGACTTCCAAAATATGAATGCAAATTGACAACACACACACACCTCATAAGGACATGAAAAACTGATTGCCCACTAATGGCACATTATCAAATTGACCAACTCAAATGCACCAAAAAAAATGTCTGCAAATTGATTGCAAGCAGCCATTTACCTACAAGTTCCAGGGAAGCTTGGCCACCGATGCTCAAGAGGGAGAAATGGCTCTAGAGCAAACATACCTTTAAGTACTGTAATCCCTAGGGCTTAGTAGCCTAAAAAACAGCCAAGACTATCCATCTGCTGTTGGCTTATATAGAGGCTTGAAGATCTTTATGGTCTATTAGTAAAGATAAACAGAAGAAATCCAGAAAGCGGATCTATAAAAATAGATCTTAAGGCATCTATATAGGACAGGAAGAGAAAGTTTTATTATGGACTCTTCATTCTATGCAAAATAGTGCTTGAGGATCTAATATCCTTCAGTCCATGCCAATGTCACCGATTATAGCTAACTTGATATTAAGCAAATGTGGAGAGATATACTCTCATGGTTAAAAGGGGTAAAAATTTCAGAGCCCTAAAAAAACCAGGAAAGAATTCCACGGAGAGCAATAGATAACCGTGGGATCATATAAATACAACCGACAGAAATTTAGATACTTCCATATTAAAGCCCTTTCACGAAAAGAGAGATCAGAGAGTGCTGAGACATATATCTCTGAGGTGATGTGGCCAATTCCTAGATAAGTCCTGGATTGAAGAACTTAGAACCTTCTTGGTAGTTCAAAAACTCTTATATTTAAGCCCTTCTACATTATCGAAACCTTCAGAATGAGGAAAATAGCACTGGACCTGATGGAAGAGGGAAGAACTATTGTGGGAGATCCCATGGAGGTACTGAAGAAGATAAGTAGAAGTGGAAACCATGGATTGGGTATTAATATGGAACTGTCAGGATGATTGGTATTGGCTCTTGCAACCTATGCAGAAGAGAAATGTTGGATGGTAAAGGAGTCCCTTTCCTGAACATATTTGAATTTTGAGAAAAGTTCCTCAATCCCAGTGGATGGTATTCATAGTTATCACTGTCCAAAGGATTTCCATAAGTAAGTTAACCTCTGCCCTTGTGAGATATTATCAGAGCTATGGTGGAGGACCTGGATCAAAACTCTCTCTGCTGGAGTAATATGCTAGTCTGAAAAGAGCTGTACCGTGCCTTGGACCATCTCAAACTGTATTCCCAGCTATACCCTGAACTAGGAGGGAGCAAGGTGACTACAGCAGACATTCATCTTTCATCATGAAGATGTAAACATAAAAGTGATGTGAGGCAAAGGATACATGGCAATAAGCATGCTGCAAATCTATAGAAATCATCCAATGTACTAGGAATACTACCTTTATAAATAAGAACGTTCAAGAATCCTGTAAATTAGAATGGATCTCCCACACCTGTTAGAAACAGATTCTTTGTGTTCTAGTTGCTTTTTAAAAAAATCTCACAATAGCTTCCTCTAATTGAAGGGAAGCCATGAAATTTACAAAGCATCTCTTTTTACCTTTTCTCTTCCTCTGGTAGAATAATGACCACTTACATCAAGGTTGAGATCTACCACACTGTTCCTGGTGTGAAATACCTTGGTCTGAGAAGGAAGTTAATGAGAATCTTTATATCGAAAGGGTCTCCTGAACCTTAGGTCTTGAAGTAGACAAGCTTTCCTGCCCTCTGCCGTTCTCTTGATCCATTAATATAGGAGGATGCATCCGTGGACCAGATATTAAGCCAAAGAGCCCAGCTAATAGACACAAAGAAAGTCATATTTCTGGCTAGAATATAATGCAACCTACGTAGACTTCTTAGCTGAAGACTATTCCCGGATTAATGACTTGTAAATTGTCAAGAGACAAAGAAAATTTATCTCTGATATGCTCCTCCAATTTATCCATACCAATATTAGATCCTTAGAGATTGAGGTAAAACCTTACAGCAAGATGAAAGCCTGTGCCAGCTGCCACATAGGCTTTAGAGAGGAGCAGAACCATGTATACTCCATGGAGTTTCAGAGAGATCCCGCATTGTTTACAGGCAGAGAGGAACATTTAGCCAGTCTAAGGACTGCATCTACTACTTAGGAGCAGAGTCCCAGGTACTAGTGTCTGAAATTCCAATGGATAAAGACTTAGATACTCCCTTGTTTCGAAAACCTCTCTCAGTGTAGAACCATTCCTCCATTAAGGATCTTAAGGGGACTGGGAACTGGAAAAGATACTCTACACCCTCTGACATCCGAAAAGAAAGGCTGGAGGTAAAAGGACTCTGGAAATCAAATGAGCGGATTCTGGAACTACTGAAATAGGCTGAATATCCTCATCTGATGATTTCATATCTCTGAATGAATCCATCTCCCAGGATTCCTAAGAGTATTCATTCTGGGAATTGTCCAGAGGATCCAAGCTTTAACCACTTCTATGACATCTTGAGATACCTCCTGTTAATATTGTGTAATACACGGGGCATGGGTAGATGGTCCTGTAGCCACTTTCAGACAGTCTGTGCAGAGACTTTACTTTTACAAGGATCTCATCATATGCCTCACAAACAATTCTTTAGTGTGACTTCCCTTGTATGATCCGGATTATTTTCTTCCCGTAGAGCTATCATCATAGGGAATTCCAGTTATTGATAGGCACTCTTTTGTTTAGTAATGACAGAAAAAATAGAATGGCTTACTTATGTCTCTTAGAGTGTGACCTTTTTTCTGGGAGCAGAGGGATCTGAATCCATAACTGCATAAGATTTCTTTTTATTCTTAACAAAGAAAATGTCTGCTAAACAAGTAGAGATTGATAGATACAGAAAAATAAGTAATATACCTTCAATAAAGAAAAACTTACCAAAACCAAAAAGAATTAAGATGAAAACTGCACACAAATCTAGTTACTTAATATAGGAAAAACCTATAAGAAAACATTGTGCTGAAAAGGGGAAGCCAATATGACCCTGCAACTGGGTTTACATTTTGGAAGCACGAGCGAATCAGATTTCCGCGCATGTGCGGTAATGGCATGGCGCGACTATTGGACTAGCACCTGCGTATTCGCGGGGATTAAACGCAGAGGAAAAAACCTGCTATATTAAAAGGCCCAGCAGAGGCCTAGGAATAAGTAATCCTGGGGGTATATTAAAAGACAAGGAAGCCTCGGGATAAGTGACTCCAGTGCTTATATTAAAGGGCCCAACAGAGACCTAGGAATAAATAAATCCAACTGCTATTTTAATGAAACCGATGAAGGGTAGAAGGGGTTATATCCATATATTTGCTCTGTATGTGCCTGTCCAGCCTGCTACTCCTTGGTCACTGCAGGAAATAGGCTGATGGCAAAATCTTGCTACCCCTAGGGTCACAGCAAGTAAATCCATGGCAAAGTACAAGATAGTGAGTTGTACTTTAACCCTTTCAGCGATGGAATGCTAGTCTGTCTCACATTAACTCTTTCAGCGACGGAATGTTAGTCAATGTCATATTAATCCTTGTAATCCATGTGCTTTGTATGTGCATGCCTGGCCTGCTACCCCTTGGTCACTGCAGGAGACAGGATGATGGCATAATCTTGCTACCCCTAGGGTCACCGCAAGTAAATCCATGTGCTCTGTATGTGCCTGCCCAGCCTGCTACCTCTTGGTCACTGCCGGAATCATGGTGATGGCATGATCTTGCTACCCCTAGGGTCACAGCAAGTAAATCCATATGCTCTGTATGTGCATGCCCAGCCTGCTATCTCTTGGTCACTGCAGGAATAATGATGATGGCATGATCTTGCTACCCCTAGGGTCACAGCAAGAAAGGGGTCTCTCCAGGGGTTCACCTTTGCACAGGGCCGTGTACTGGAGACTGCCCAAGGGAGAGAGGCTGAACTCCCTTGATGGAGAAGGTAACAACCCTCAGGTAAGCCAAAAAGAAAAAATTCTCTAGTCTTAGAATGACTAAATCTGTCCTAGGGATAGGACAGGAACAAAAAGACTCAGGGTGGGAGGGGTAGGAGGGGTTACTTATACCTTCTGTTTTAATTAGGTTCCTGTCTGGTTAGGGATAGAGAGGAGCTACCCATTGTTGTGCTGCCATTGATGTTGCCAGGAAATATATATATATATATATATATATATTCTCATTAATTATATTTTAAAAAAATGGGAGCGGGGGGGAGGAGGATTAGGATATCGTTTTAGCCTTTGTAACGCACCCCCCTGCTCAATCTAGAGAGCCTGGGACGGCTCTGCATCCTGTGAGTTCCATCCTATATGGGGGGTTAATATTTGTTTACACAGTTTGCACAATGTTTCTGTATTTTAGATTGATCCTGATACCTGTACCCCTAGACTGGTGTAGTATTTATTTCTGTTTTACTGTTTATTCTTAAGTGCTGTGGGACACACTTTTATTACACCAGTCTCTCTGTATTTTTATATTGGTGGTGCCTATACACCTTTTATATCTTTTATATTTTGAATCTTAGCATGGGATCATTTTTTTGCTAGTATGGTCCAGGTGTAGTGGTAACAAGCATTTTTTAATGTATTTTTTTTTACTTTTTAAAACTTGGGGTTTTTTGTTTGTTTTTAATTTTACTTTTTTTTTAAATTCTTTATTTTTCTTGTGCTTGTGAAGACAAATAACATTTATTCTTGCAATGCCCTAACAGCAACAGCAAGCTGATGAAGAACAATAGATTTGACATGGCATGCGATTAGACAGCACAATTTTATATTCTTATCAGGCTAGAACCGGAGAGATTATATAGAGATAAGAGATTTCAGATAGCTCAAGAATATCCAAACTAAAGGTTATAAGCATTTGCATCAAGATGATCAAGCTACAGCTGGTGTTTGTCTTTTGCTTGAAAGTAAGAGGGAAGCTCTTATAACTTGCTTAGCCTCTTTCTGCCTAATCTTATAGATCATTTTGTCTTCCTCACTCTGGGTTTTTTTATAATTCCTAAATGCTAACTTTTTGTTTTTAACTATTTTGGCCACATCTGCGGAGTACCACAGTGGTTTCTTGAATTTTTGCTTTTACTGACAAGCCTAATGCAATTTTCTGTTGCCTTCAATAGTGCAACTTTTAAATAATCCCATTTCTCTTGGACTCCATTTAAATTGCCCCAGTCTGATAATGACTCCTCTACACATATTCTAATTTTAGAAAAGTCTGTTTTTCTAAAGTCTAAAACTTTTGTTTTTGTGTGGTGTGACCCAGTCACTGTTCTTATATTAAACCACACTGACTGATGATCACTGGATCCTAAACTTTCACCTACAGTAATATCTGATACCAAATCTCCATTTGTTAACACTAAATCTAGTATGGCCTCTTTACGAGTTGGCTCCTCGACAACTTGTTTTAGAGACACTCCCAGTAGGGAGTTTAGAATATGTGTGCTCCTGGCACAAGTAGCTAATTTTGTTTTCCAATTTATATCAGGAAGATTCAAGTCACCCATGATGATAACTTCCCCCTTCATTGTCATTTTAGCTATTTCCTCAACTAGCAGATTATCTAACTCTTCGATTTGTCCTGGGGGCCTATAAATCACACCTACACGAGTTACTGTGTGATTACCAAATTCTAACGTAGCCCAAACGCACTCTATGTTTGCCTCACTAACTTTTATTAGGCTGGATTTTATGCTATCTTTCACATACAAGGCCACCCCTCCCCCTTCTTTCCTATATAAAGAGTACCCTGGTATTGCTATGTCCCAGTCATTTTTCTCATTGTACCATGTCTCAGTAACAGCGACTAAATCTACATTATCAGTTGCCATTATTGCCACAAGTTCATGGATCTTATTCCCTAAACTGCGAGCATTTGTAGACATGACTCTAAGCTTATCATTTTTTAACACACTTGCTACAGGCACCTTCTGTCCTTGTTTTGGGGACAATTGGATTGATGTTTTATCACCCTTTTGCCCCCCCCTCCTAGTTTAAATACATCCTAGCAAAACCTCTGAACTGCTCACTGAGAACATTTGTTCCTTTTTGAGAAAGATGCAAACCATCTTTTTTGTACAGCTTATCTCCATTCCAAACAGAGCTACCATGAGAAATAAAGCCAAATCCTTGCTCCCGACACCATTCACCAAGCCACAAATTAAA